ATCTGAAGAGAATCGATGTTGATAAAGATTTAAAGGATTCTAGTTTGAGAGATTATAAAAAAATTAAAAAATATATATATATATATATACATCTCCTATAGAATTTATATAAAAATACTAGGAATAATTAATTATAATTTAATTTATTTATTTATAAAAAAAAAAAAAAAAAAAAAAAAAAAAAAATAAAAAATAAAAAAACTCTTTTTTCCTACTTTTGAAGAAATCAAAATTAAAAAAGTATATATATAAAAAACATATACATTTGGAAATTATAATATTTTCATTACATTTATTTTTATTGTAAATAATAAATATATGTTAGATAATATTTTTGGGAAGTATTTATTTTTACGGGAATATTAACTAAGATTTTTCAATTTAAAATAATTATAGCAATTGATTATTGCTTAAGAAATTAAAAGTTAATAAGAAAAACAAAAAAAAAGAAGAGGAACTATTTTAAAAATTAAAATAAGAAAAAATGAGTTCTATAAATAATGATAATAAAAAGGATACCGAAGTAAATAAATTAGAAATCGAAGAAAACAAGAGTAGTAATCGTTGGGCAGATATGTGCGAAGATTGCGATGCTCCTTTAGGTATTTGTTATATATATATATATATATATATATATATATATATATATATATATATATATGTTTACTTTTGTTTTATAATATTTCATTTTTTTTTTCTTTAAATATATATATATATTCCTCTTTTTTTTTTTCCCCCCTTATAGTTGACACATACAATGATAAAAATGATATAAAAGATAAAACAGTTGATAGTAATATTAATAATATTAGTAATAATATTAGTAATAATGTTAAGCAGAATTATTTTATTCCTTCAAAAACTGGTATTTTCTTTTTTTAAATAAAAATTATTTTACTTATTTTTATATTTAAGACTATGAATTTTTTTTTTTTTTTTTTTTTTTTTTTTTTTTTTTTTGTATATTTAACACATTTATAACTTTTTTATTTATTATATTATGCTTATTATAATGCACAAAATATTATTAAAATATTTAGAAATATAATATTATATATATATATTAGTTAAACATATATATATTTTTGTCATTTTGTTTAAAAAAATATTCATTAATTCATTATTTAACAAATCATAATTTTATACATAAATCACTTTTACTTTATCTTCTTTATTATATATATAATATTATACATATTTAAATATATATTACATATCTATTTTTGTATTATATATATATATATATTTTTTTTTTTTTTTAGATGTTAATAATTATAATATTTGTTACGAAATTTATATTCGCAATTTACACATTGATATAACAAAGGAAGAAATTTATAAAATGTTTGAAGGATATCGCATAAAGAGAGTTAATATATTAAATAAAAAAGGTAAAACTGCTGCAGCATATGTAGAATTTGATAATCCAGAAGATATGAGTAGATCATTAGAATTAAATGGGAAAATGATTTATTCAGGAAATAATTCATATGAACAGGGTGCTATATCGGTAATAATTAATAAAGATAAAATGAAAAACTTTCATATGAATCAAAAGCAGAATAAATTTAAAAAAATAGTTAACAGAAATAACTTTTCGAATGTTCGTCAAGGAAACCATAATATGAATAATATTACTAATACTTATAACAATAGCAACAATAATAATAACATTAATAACAACAATAATAACAATAGTATTAATAATAATAATAATGTGTTTAATATGAATAATACTTATTATAATGAAAATAATAAAAATATTAAAATGGATATGAAAAATAATCCTATGAATAATATGAATCAAAATTATAATTATAATATGAAAATGAATTATTTAAATAATCAACAGGGTGTTAATATGCATATGAATCAGCAAAATAACAATCCACACATTTTAAATGATAAGATAAACTCTAATTCAAATTTCAATTTTAAAAATGTTAATTTTCAAAATAATAATAATAATGTAAATAAAAATTCTATTTCTGAAAATAATGTTGCTAATTCTTCTACTACAACTGCAAACGGAACAGAACAAAGAAAAAAATTAATTTTGAAAAAAAGAACTGTACCTTTAGATCAGAAAAGTTATGTTGTTAATCCCAGTATTTTTGGTGAAGCTAAGCCAGTTGACACTGATCCTGATAAAATATTAAATGAAAGCTTAGCTAAGGAAAAGGAAAAGGAAAATAATTCAGAAGAAAATGAAAAAAAAATAGAACATCAAGAAGAAAATGAAAAAAAAAATCAGGAAACTAATGAAAAGCAAAAAAAAATGAGCAATATGAATGATTTTAACAAAGATAACAAGAACCTTAACGGCTCCAATAAAAATGTATTTAGTTATAAAAAGAGTACAAACACTAATAGAAACTTTAATTATAATAATTACCAAAATAATATTAAGAATAATTCTTCGAAAAAAATTTTTATGATGAATAAGAATAATCCTAATAATAATATGAAAAAGAACCTTAACAGTACAGATAATAATTTGCCCTTAAATAAAGGTGTAAGCAATATTAATAATCAAAATGCAAATAATAACATGAATGATATAAATGTGAATAAAATTAATATGAATAAAAATTTTAAAAGCACAGATAATAATACAAATATAGGACATAATAACTTGAAAAATGCAAATGCAGAAGTAAATAAAAAAAATATAAATTTAACTGTTATTCATAATCACATATACGAAAATAAATTATATAGCACAAATGCAGAAAATGAAGGAGATAAAAATCAGTATTTAAAAAATACTCACTACACTAACAATAATAATAATGATTGTGATGATAACTACGGAAATCTCGGAAATAATAATGAAAAAATGGAAAAGAAAAATTTAGAAAATTGCTTAGGTAAACAAAAAGATTCTAACATAATTAAAAAAGATGATAAAACAAATATTAAAAATATTATGATGAAAAATATAAAACGTGAAGATGGAAGCAATTACAATAATAGTAATACAACAACTAATAATAACACATATAACAATGAGCAGAATTATTATAGTAACAATGAAATTTCCTCTAATACCAGAAACGCAAAAAATAATGTAGAAACAAATAATGATATAATGAAGGAAAATATGAATTCTAAGGAAAAAAACGAAATTAATTTAAGAAAAAATGAAGAAGCACATGATAATAATAATAAAAACATTAACTCGAATGAAAGTTATAATAACAGTTCTTATAATTATAATATTGAAAATTTATATGACAATTCTTTAAAGTATGTGAAAAATGCTAATAATTCAAATAAAGCAAAGAAAGTTACAACTATTAAGACAGTTAAAGTAATAGCAACAGAAAAAAAAAGCGAAGAGGAAAATAGTTCTGAAGAAAATAAAGAAAAAACAAATAAAGATGATAACAACAACGATGATGCAGAAGATAATAATGAAAAAAATGCAAAGGAAGAAAAAAATACAGATGAAAAAAAATTTGAAAATAATAATGAATCGGAAAAAAGTAATGATAACTATACTTATGAAACAGAAAGTTCAGAAAATAAAGATATAACAAGTACTAATTTAAAGTCAACTTTATTGCATTCAAAAACAAAAAAAAAAATAAAAAAGAAAAGCACTGAAGAAAATGAGCAAACACCAAATGGTGCAAATGATAATACTAATAATGCGGATAATCAAACCTCTCATAATGGAAATACGCAAGTAACAAATAAAAGTCAGAAAATAGATATTTTAGTTAAACCGAATTTAAAGAAAGGAGAAAATATATGGGAAGCAAGAACCCATTTGTTAGTAGAACAGAAAGAAAATAGTGAAAAAAATGAAAAAGATTCGCATTATAGCTCTAGAAGAAGCCGTTCTTATTCAAATAAAATAAGTAGAGGAAGTAGTCGTAGAAGAGATGATAGTAGAAGAAGAGATGAAAGCAGAAGAAGGGACAGATATAGTAGAAGGTATGATAGAAGATCTGATAGAAAAGACGATAGTAGAAGAGATGAGAGAAGAGATAGTAGCAGAAGAGATAATAGGAGAGATGAAAGCAGAAGAAATGACAGAAGAGATGATAGTAGAAGAGAAGAAAGAAGAGATGACAGAAAAGATGACAGAAAGGATGATAGAAAGGATGATAGAAAGGATGATAGAAAAGATGACAGAAAAGATGACAGAAAGGATGACAGAAAAGATGATAGAAAAGATGATAGAAAAGATGACAGAAAAGATGACAGAAAAGATGATAGAAAAGATGATTACAAAAGAAGAGAAGATTCAAAAAGAGAAGAAAAGGGAAGTTCTTATGAATACAGAAAACATAGAACATATGATAAACATAATAGTAGTAGAAGTAATTATGATAGAAAAAGAAATAGTAGATATAGTACATCAGATAAAAAAAATTATGACAATAAAAGTTATATTTCAGATGAAAAAAGGAAGCGCAAAGATTCTTATGAGAAAAATAATTATAAAGATTCATATGATAAAAATTATAGAAATTCTCATGATAGATTAAGTTATAAAGACAATTATGAAAAAAATAAGGATAATTACAAAGATAGTTATGATAGAAATAATTATATGGATTATGATAAAATGGATAATAAATATTTTTCAAATAATTATAATTCAATGAGGCATAAAAGTTATAAACATCATAATTCCCATTCAAAAATGAATAATTATAACTATTCTAATAATTACAAACCATCTAATTATTATAAATACTCATCTAAAGGTAATTATTACAAAGATGTTAAGAATTCATCAAAACAAAATGATAAGGAAAAAACCGAACCTAAATCAGAAATTCAAGCAATTCCTAAAAAGGCTATAGTTACAACTGTTAAAACTAATAATGTATCTATTAAAAAGAATAGATATGAATGTTTAGGAGAAGGAGATGAAAGTGATAAATAAAAAAAAAAAAAAAGAATTTTATGTAAAATGAGTTTATACTTACGATAATAGTAAAACTAATACTTTTCTAATGTAATATTTAAGTAGTTTTAACAAAAAAAATGAAAATAATAAAAATGATAGAATTAATGAGGAATAATCAAGTAAAACTAATAATGATTTGGTTAAAAGGATTTCCTCCTTCTATTACTAATAAAAATAATAAAATTTAAAAAAAAAAAAAAAAAAAAAAAAAAAAAAAATTAAAAATGTATATACATTATTGTACACTTAAACTATAATTCAAACAAATATGTCATAAACACATATGTAATTATTTATGTTTATAAATATTTATACACAAGAAAAACATTTGTGAACGATATGTCTTTTTTTATAAACCTTTTTTTTTTTTTTATTTGTTAATAAACAAAAAAAAAAAAAAAGAAATTGGTATATTATTATTATTATTTTTTATTATATTTTATTGTTGTATGTAATGTTATAAATCTGAATTAATATAAGGTAACATTTTTATATTTATTATTTATATTTTTACAGCTAAATTGATTTTATCGTTTTTATATATACATACATGATCATTTTATTTAATATAAATTTATACATATATACACACACACATATATATATATATATATACATATATGTTTATTCATATGAACATATTAATTTTTAATAGTAAAAAATATAACTATAAAAAAAAAAAATAAAAATTTATTCTGCTTTAAAAATATTTGAATATATTATTTCAATATGTTATACATTAACTATATATTTTTAGTTATATAAGTAAATTATGAATTTATATTTTAATATATTGTGTAAACCTTTTTTAAATTATTTAAGTGGTTATTGCATAAATGCGATTAAATTTTTTTTTTTTTTTTTTTTTTTTTTTTTTA